ACTCTTTCTACTGTTTCAAGGTGAATAGTCTTAGGGGCATGCATGAACTAGCTAAGAACTCCCATTACATAAGCAATGTTTGGTCGAGTCAAAGAAAGATATAACAGTCTTCCTACAAGTCTCTGAAACTGTTTCACATCTTCCACGGGTTCACCTTGACAGTCTCCTAACTTGTGGTTAGGATCAATAGGGGAATCAACGGGCTTTACTTCCAATTTTCCTATATCCTGGAGTAGATCTAGGACATACTTTCTTTGGGAAATGAAGATACCCTTTTTTGAGCGGGCCACTTTAATCCCAAGGAAGTACCTTAGAGGACCTAGATCCTTCACTTCAAACYGRGTAGCAAGRAAACTCTTCAACTTTTGAATTTCATCATTCCAATCACCAGTGATAACTATATCATCAACATATACTATTAGTGTTGCAATCTTTCCTTCTCATCTTTTCACAAATAGTGTGCGATCAGATTGACACTACTTGTATCCTTTTTGCTGAATTGCTACATGGAATCTACTGAACCAGGCTCTCGGTGATTGTTTCAGGCCATATAATGATTTTTTTAACCTGCACACTTTCTGTTCCTTACCTTGAGCTCGGAAACCAGGAGGTTGCACCATGTATACTTCTCTTCAAGGTCACCATTCAAGAATGCATTCTTGGTATCAAGTTGATGAAGTTCCTAGTCAAGATTAGCAGCTAAGGAGAAAAGAACTCTAGTGGAGTTCATCTTAGCAATGGGTGCAAAAGTTTCTACATAGCCCACTCTATACACTTATGTAAATCCCTTTGCTATTAGACGAGCTTTATACCGCTCCACTGTGCCATCAACCTTATTTTTTACTGTGAAAACCCATTTACACCCAACTAGTTCATTCCCCTTAGGAAGATATACAAGTTCCCATGTATTATTCTTATGTAAAGCACTAATCTCTTCCTTCATAGCATCTGTCCATTCAGGTATCAAAAGAGCTTTTGCCACATTCTTAGGAATAGAAACACTGTCAATGAAAGAGAGAAAGGCCCAAAGGACAATGAAATGTTATCACAGGAAACAAAGTGGGACATGGGGTGTTTAGTGGTGCAAGACCTAACACCTTTCCGATGAGCAATAGAGGTATCAATGGCAATAGGTTAGGAACATTAATGGGAACCAAGGTACTTGGTTAGGAAGGACCCACCCTTGGAGAGTTTGATGGTATTGGTAGTACAACTTCTGAATGCTCCACAGCTCTTRAACTTGGCTGGCCTTTGTGACGTCGAAAGAAAACATGAAAGGAAGGAGGATCAGGAATAAGGGGCGGCTGAACTAGTTTCTCATCATTTCTACACTCCCCCTGAGGAGAAACAGGGAAGAAATGCTCACTCTCAAAGAAAGAGACATTCATAGAAACATAATATCTCTGGGAGACGGGATCAAAACATCGATACTTCTTTTAAGTGAGGGAGTACTCCAAGAAGTGCAAGGAATAGCACAGGGATCCAATCTTCTACGGGTGGGAGCTAGATTTTGAACAAAGCAATGATAACCAAACACACGAGGAGGAATAGACAGAAGAGGAGGTTTGGGAAAAAGAAGCTGATGTGGGGCTTTGCACTCTAACCAGCGAGAGGGCATACGGTTAATGAGATAGGTAGAACAAAGGACCGCCTCAAGCCAAAAACATTTTGGGACATTCATATGTATGAGTAAACCCCTAGCCATTTCAAGAAGGTGTCGGTTATTTCTTTTAGTAACACCATTTTGTTGTGGTGTTTGGGAACAGGAGCTACGGTGAAGTGATCCATGCGAAGCAAAGAATTCTGTGAGATCATTATGAAAATATTCTTTTGTGTTATCGGATTGGAAAATTTGGATCTCAGTTTGAAATTGGGTGAAGATCATTCAATGGAAATCTTGGATAATTTTGGGAACTTCATCCCTGGTTTGCATAGGATATATCCATGTGTATCTGGAATAATCATCAATAAAGGTAATAAATATTTGTAGCCAATCTCGGACGGTAAAGTAACAGGGCCCCAAACATCAAAATGAATAATATGGAAAGGAAATTCAGATTTATTATTCTTTGAAGAAAAATGAGTTCTACAATGCTTACTCAATTGACAAGTTTGACATGTAAACTATGACACTGACACTAACTTGAACAACTCTAGAAAAACCAATTTTAAAGACTCAAAGGACAAATGATCGAGACGACTGTGCCATAAGTAGACCTGACTTGTACTTGACTGACTCTTAGACTCTGTGACTGTAAGACCAGCCTTATTCTCTAGCATGCAGAGCCCATCCACCAACGTCCTCTATGAATTGTGTTCCCTGAGGCCAAATCCTGGAGTACACAATGAGAAGGGAAAAATGTTACTGAGCAGTTTAAAGAATTAATGATACTACTAACAAAGAACAAATTAATGGGGAATTTTGGAACATGTAAGACATTAGTCAAGGTGAAGTCAAAGGGAAGAGAGATGGTTCCTTGACCAGCTATGGTAGAATATGAATCATCAGCTAGTCTCACCTTGTCTCTTCCAGAGAGGTGGTGGTAGGTATGAAAATAAGTGGACTTACCAGTCATACGTTTTGACGCTCCATAATCAGTTATCCAAGGAGAGTCAGGGAGACGAGATGATACATGGAAAGCTGTGGCAAAGTTACTTGATGTAGATGCAAATGAAGTTGAAGGAGGAGAAGAATCCATCTAACAAATTACTCTACCATAGAGTTCCAAATGGTCGCGGAAAGAATTTATAATATCCTCCATCGGGTCAGAACCAGAAGTGTATGTCTGAGTTATAGCAGTAGTAGGGGGCTGGTTCTCCTAAGAAGCTACATTTTCTGTGGTGAACTTTCTTGGACCTTGCTGTCCTGGCTTCTTATTCAGGTTTGAACCTTGCTTCTTGCTTAAATCCTGGGCCCATTTGGGCTTCCCATGAAGATCCCAACATGTTTTTCGGGTATGTCAGGGTTTCTGGCAGTGGGTGCACCATAGTTTGTCTTTTTTTTTTTAGGGTCCCCCTTCTTAAAAAAATTTCCCCCACCTGTAGTAACGTTCCCTTTTGTTGCCAACACAACTACATCCCCTCTGGAGCTGTTCATTAAATTTCTTCTACTCTCTTTCGACTGTACCAATGCATAAACCTCCTGGACAGAGGGAAGATCCTTGCTGCCTAGGATCTAGGCTCTAATGGATTCATATACTGGATTCAAACCATGGAGAAATGCAAATACTCTCTGTTGGGAAACAAGCTTCTTGTATGCTTTTGCATCTTCATCACACTTCCAATCTACACTCTGATAGTGATCTAACTCCTTCCAGATGGAGGTCAAATCTGAATAGTATGCAGAAATGTTCCTCTCCCCCTGTTTACAAGTGGATGATTCTGCCTGTAACTGATAGATTTTTGCGTAATGACGCAGTTCAAAATAGGTCGATTTTGCCTGCTCCCAAGTCTCATAAGCCATTTCAGCCCACATAAAATTTCTTCTCATTGGGGTTGCATAGACACCAAAAGCTAGGACATAACCATGCTATTTTCCTGGTTCCATCTGTCATACTCAGCACTCCCGGAATTCGGTTCTTTAATTCTCCCATTTGTATACCCTATTTTTCCCCTTGCTGTAATGTATAACTTGATCCCCCTCGACCATTCTAAGTAATTTAGACCATCTGGGGGTATAACAACCATATGGAAGGATAAATCTATTCCCCCACTTGTTACGTTCTGCATTGAGGAGACTCCAGATGTGGTAGAGTCTTCACCACTCATAATCACAACTTTAGGTTACACTTCAACTGAACACAAGGAAGGCAAAGAAGAAGCAGCCAAACACCCAAAAAAAATATTTTGTACTAAGGAATTAGAGACAACCACCCCCTCCTTTCCCTTCTTTTAAAACTCAATTCTTCAACTAAAATTAGCTGCTGTTACCAAACTCACAGGTCATCATTATCCTACCATAAATCAGGTATGGCTGTTGTAGCAGCATATATAGGTCCTCTCTTGATCTACAAATCAATTTTAGCTATTGTTGCAGCATATACAGGTCATCACCTGACCTAGAAGTTCACCAAAAAACTGCTGTCTCAGCATGTAAAGGTCATTACTGACCTACAATCTATTACAGGGATCAGCTGATCCCACAAAAAAGGAAAGAAGAGGGACTGCTCGCCTCACATTAACAGTCTTTACCTATTATAGGTTCTGCTCTGGCACATGACTAGAAAAAATAAAAAAAGAGAAGGGAGAGAGAGTACTTCAGTCCGATCTGAATTTGGATTTGGATCTTCAATGAAACTGGATCTGGATCTGGCAAATGGAGAAGACAGGTAAGGTGTGCTCGATCTCTTCTTCCAGATTTAACAGTCTGATACCATGTTATCCAGAGGAGAAGAAGGGAGAGAGAGAGAGAATATAGACAAAAGTTTGGAGTCCCAGGAAGCTGCTGGCGGTGCCAGCTTTGTTGTTATTTATAATAGGGCTACACAACTTAAAATAAAACATGCTGAAAGGACTAAAGTACCCCTGCGGTACTAAACATACAAAAACACAGCATTTCAATAGAAACAAACTCAGGTGCTGAATTGGAAGCTACACTTTTTGTTGTTTCTCACACTCAAAACAACACATGATCGACTATGTTGTCATATAATCATGGTCATCAAAAAGATGGTTATCCAAATCCATCCATAAGCTAGAAGAGGTTCTCCCCTAAAGGTGATTGTACTTCTTGGGTTTCTTCCTTCCTTTATTTCTTTCAATCACCTATCAGTCGTATGGAAGAGGCTGCTTCACTAAGTTGTATCATACATTAGGCTTACCTCTCTGTGAGTCTGATCACATATGGAAGAGACCCACTTGTATCAGATTACTATATAATTAATTCCTCATGAGGATCGTTTTCTCTGCTCTCATTCTTATTTTCATCCTTTGTAGGTTTTATGGTTTACTTCTTTGGTAGTTGATTACATGAGAAAATCCAGTTGGACCACAACCACAGTTGAGACTTCCTTCTTTGTTTTTGATTAGTACTATATATTGAGCAACTGATCTCCTAGAAGAATGATTAATTCTTGGCTTCTTTCTTCTTCATGAAACTTACCAGTCTTGTACGATTCTTCATTGATTTTCTTGACTTTTTGGTTTTTGCAAGTGAATACTCTCTCTCTCTCTCTCTCTCTCTCCCTGTGTGTGTTACTTTGTTGGCTTCTTATTTCAGGCGATATTGTGCGTCTTACTTGGTTGGCAAGCAGTTGATCAGATGGGGAAGCTGAGATTTGGAAGGGTGTTGGGTTGTCTTTTTCTTTCCTCTAGTTCAAGCTCATCTTGCTTTTGCATGAATTTCATGGACACCGAAGATGTTATTGAGTTCGATAGGAAGCCACTGATTAATGGAGATAGTGGAAGCAAGTTGATGAGAGTGAGGGACATCTTTGAAGAGAGGCAGACCTTGGCTTTTCATCTAAAGCCCCAGGTAATGCCATCTATTTCTACAGCTCAAACTAAGTTCCATTTTATCTGTATCTGTATCTGTATTTTATTTTCTTTATTGAGAAAAACAGATAGAGAAGTTATAAATGCCTATATATACTTTTGGCTTTAAACAAACTGATCCAAACTAGTTCTTCACTTCCAGATGTCCCTTAGCCACTCTAGTGGCAATGATTTAAGGAGGTAGTCTGTTTTCTTTCTACTCCCTTCTTTATGGTATCAGTTTAGATTTTTTTTACTTTTCTTAATGGATTTTGTAGATGGTTGTATTGAGGGTATCCATGCATTGCCACGGTTGTGCAAGAAAAGTTGAGAAGCACATCTCAAAAATGGAAGGTATGTAATTTAAGACTGCTCAAGAACTGTCTCTCAAACCCTTCTGTGATCATTATTAGGATTCCCTCTCTCTCTCTCTCTCATTTAACATATTAGGACAGTGATGTTAATTAGCATCAACTCATGTGGGTTTGATCTCCATCTAATGAAAACTTTTGGGTATAATTTTCTCAGCTCAATTTCCAAAGCAATGTGATATATAGATCACATGCTAATTACTATTTTATTCAAACATGAGTACACACATTAATTTCTCTTTCTGCACAGGAGTAACCTCCTACCAAGTGGACTTGGAAAGCAAGAAGGTGGTTGTGATAGGGGATATTCTTCCTTTTGAAGTGCTGGAGAGTGTCTCAAAAGTCAAGAATGCAGAGCTCTGGTCTTGAGAGATCATACCAAGAAAAAGTTCAGTCAGCCAAACACATAATAGATTTAGCAGCTTTTTAACCATTATGCTTCAAATGTGCATTTATATATATACAAATGCACACTGTTTCATCATGTTGCATAGAAGCTTCCTATGATGCTCTTCCCCTATGTTCTGTGTATGTAATATCTACTAACCAAAGTGGCTATTTGACTAGTCCAGTTCTGAGGTATGGTCATTTCACCATTTGACAACCAGATGTATTTGATCATGGATGATGCACACTGGCTGAATCAATTACAATGAGTTTGTTGTGCATTTGCTTTGATATATATATTTTTTTCTACTTAGTACTTATCAACTTTGGGTGTCTCTCTTGCCATGATATTAATTTTAATAGGAAATGTTCTCTTTAATTAATTTGCATTTGAAATTGACTTAGGAAGATAAATAATTAGGGCTTCCTCAGTCAGGGGTTGCAAAATTATGACTCCCCTCAGGTCTTCTCTCACTACCTGAGTCCATGTTCTTGTCTTATTAATTTCTTTCATGCACTCTCCTATGCAAATCCTTTTTATTTGTAGCTGATGGGTAGGGTGCAGTATAATATCTAGCTCATGATCATGAGAGTTCTATGCACACAATGCATTGAGAAGCAATGGGTAGTGATGATGCGCAATCCGGTCGGTCTTAGCTATCAATGACCTTGCCTCTGAACTGAGTAGTAGGGAACCTAAAACGGAGAAGATGAGGAAGCTTCGGGGGGAATCCGGTGTAAAGGCTCCGAAGTTCAAGTTCGAATCTTCCAAAGGCAAGATAAAACCAGATAGCGCAAAGTTTGCATACTTCTTCTTTGGGGGGTGGAGAGCCTTTTATAGCCACCTCGTGCACTCACTCCTACACTTCTGTCAGGTCGGGTATGATTACTTCCGTGCTTCTGCCAGTTCGGGTGTCATCTCCTCTGCTGGGGCAGAACCGTCACTGCTCTTTTTG